TATAATCTATTCTGTTCTATTCTATTCTGTTCTGTTCTACTGTATTCTATACTATTATGTGTATACTATTATAATCTATTCTATTCTGTTCTATTCTACTCTACTCTATTCTGTTCTACTGTATTCTATACTATTCTGTGTATACTATTATAATCTATTCGGTTCTATTCTATTCTACTCTATTCTGTTCTACTGTATTCTATACTATTCTGTGTATACTATTATAATCTATTCGGTTCTATTCTATTCTACTCTATTCTGTTCTACTGTATTCTATACTATTCTGTGTATACTATTATAATCTATTCGGTTCTATTCTATTCTACTCTATTCTGTTCTACTGTATTCTATACTATTCTGTGTATACTATTATATTCTGTTCTATTCTATTATATTCTGTTCTGTTCTACTGTATTCTATACTATTCTGTGTATACTATTATAATCTATTCTGACTAGACTAAAATAGTGCAGAATAAAATTGAGTTGAGTAGACTATACTAAAGTAAAGTTGAATAGTCTAGAGATTAGTAGAATAATGTAGACTAGATTGAAGTAGAGTAGTATATACTTGACTAGAGTTGAGTAGACTTGAATAAAGGGAAAGACAAGAGCTTAATGATCAATAGAATAATGTAGAATAGATTAAAGTAGAATAGCACATACTAAAGTAGAGTAGAATAGAGTTGAGTAGACTAGACTAAAGTGAAGGAGAATAGCCTCAAGATGCAAAGACTAGTGTATAAAAATGTAAAGTAGATTAAAATAAAATAAATTAAAATTGCTTCTACCAAAATAGAGCAGAATAGAGTGGCATAGACTTGAGAAAAGTTAATTAATGCAGAGTAGACCAGACTAACATAAAGTAGAATAAAATAGACTTGAGTAGGCTTGACTAAAATAGAGGAGAATAACATACAGATGAGTAGGCTAGAGTAGAACAATGTGGAGTAGATTAAAGTACACTAACATAGTCTAGAGTAGAATAAAGTAGAGTAGACTACATTTGAGTAGCCTATACTAAAATAGAGTGGAATGAAATAGAGTAGCCTAAAGTAGAGTAGTGTATCGAAGTTGAGTACTTTCTATCTTTATAGCGTAAACTTCATTGTTGGACTAGATTAAAGCCTAATCAGAGTGTAGCAGCTGTGGCGCTAAGATCACACTTTCATATCCTCATAGCCTTTGATGATTTCCATCTGAAAAACTCTGGATAGACACCAAAGCATTATGGCGCATAACTCTTCCTTACAATAACAACCTGACATGAATGTAAAATTCATTTAATAGATTGAGCTCTCATTCATTTGTGAGCTGTTTCATCAGTCAGAGTTGTGTCTGTTGGGTTTTTCACACACTCTCACCTGAGATTCAGTGTGACAGGCCCCCAGGTCACACACACACTGTCAAACACACTCTCACAGACTCTTGCACGAACATTGACATAATCTGTCTCCAACAGATGATTTTCATTAAACTAAAAACCTTCGAGCTGTAATGGATGGTTTTGTGTATTTGTGTGAATGTGTGATGTGTGTGTGATGTTTTTTGTTTGTGACATAGACATCAGGCAAAACTACCATGTGCATGTAAACATAGCATGACCAGCTGTGAATGTTGTGCCTGCACACACACACACACATGGCAGTGAGTCAGGCTTTTAGTGGTAACAGTGATCCATTAGAGCACACTTCCTCTAGGAGAGAGACCGGCTCTGACCAACATCCTCTCTAATGTAACATTTCCAACACAAATAATCATCCATCTTCACTTAGCTCCCTGTCTTCTATTTCTCTACATGCAGGTTCTGTCTATATGCCCACTGTATTTTAAATGTGCAATGTATTTTTAGTATAAAAAGTTTACACTACTTTATTGTACTCTACAGAGTCCTACACTGCTCAATTCTACTCTTCTAGACTATTTATCATACCTACTGTACTCTATGCTGCTCTTCCTTACTCTGATCGTCTCTATAATCTATTCTGTTCTATTCTATTCTACTCTATTCTGTTCCACTGTATTCTATACTATTCTGTGTATACTATTATAATCTATTCTATTCTGTTCTATTCTATTCTACTCTATTCTGTTCTACTGTATTCTATACTATTCTGTGTATACTATTATAATCTATTCTATTCTGTTCTATTCTATTCTACTCTATTCTGTTCTACTGTATTCTATACTATTCTGTGTATACTATTATAATCTATTCTATTCTGTTCTATTCTATTCTACTCTATTCTGTTCTACTGTATTCTATACTATTCTGTGTATACTATTATAATCTATTCTATTCTGTTCTATTCTATTCTACTCTATTCTGTTCTACTGTATTCTATACTATTCTGTGTATACTATTATAATCTATTCTATTATGTTCTATTCTATTCTGTCCTGTTCTGTTATACTGTATTCTATACTATTATGTGTATACTATTATAATCTATTCTGTTCTATTCTATTCTGTTCTACTGTATTCTATACTATTATCTATACTATGCACTTCTATTCTATATTATTTTAATTTGTTCTGTTGTATTCTATTGTATATTATGTTAATCGGTTCTATTCTGTTCTATTCTATATCATGCTAAATGGTTCTATTCTATACTATTCTATTTGGTTCTATTCTATTCTAGTTTTCTCTGTTCTATTTTATTCTTTTCTGTTCTGTTCTATTCTAATCAGTTCTATTTTGCTCTATTCAGACAAATATAGAGTATGAGCTGTTAGTTTGTCTCACTACTTGTGTTTGATTCAGTTTTTTCAGCGATCTGTTCGGGTTAGACGCATACTTAACGCTTTTGGCTGTAATCATGCAAAACAAGAATATTTGGCCACTGCAGAATAAAAGACTGTTATTGAAGAGACAGTCTCTGAGATGAAGTCCTTATATCTCGTTTTTAAGTGAATGAATCTTTTCTTAACATGTTTAGATAGAGTTTGCGGTTTATCGTCTCTCTTAGTGTAATTTCTCATTCTTGCTGTAGCATGTTTATGAAGTGAACACACACTCCTGCTTCAGCGATGACATCACGAGGTTCTGTCAGGTCAGAGCTGCAGATCTGGGATCAGTCAAACACACCAGGAGGTCAAAGGTCAGAGCTCAGGGAATGTTTGCAGGAGGATCCAGTTACCCTGAACCCTGCTAACCCACAAACACACCGTGAGCCGTGATTGGTGCCTGAAAAACCACCTCGTCCAATCAGACAGCATCTCACAGCACTGCAGATGTTTGTGTGTTTGTTGTTCTGGCTGAACTAGTTCTTATCTACACACACACGCACACACACAGCGTAATTCAACAGGCGAATGAACATACTAAACAATGTTTTATTAAATATATAAAAATGCTGAGGGTTATGTTTAGTGTTAGGGGTTAGAAAATATCATTAGCTCAGTGTAAAAACCAGTACGCCTATAGAAAGAGTGTGTGTGTGTGTGTTGGGCTGCTAGAGGTTATTTCAGACTGATGGATCATATTCTGTGTGATTATTTCAGGACATCTGCAGTGTTTGTGTGTCTCCTTTGCTCAGGGGTTTCTTCTTAAAGGAACAGTTCACTCAAAAGTGAGAATTGTGAAAACGTGATCATCCTCAGTTCATCCCAGATCAGGATGAGTTTGTTTCTTAATCAGGTTTGGAGAAATGTAGCATTGCATCAGTGTCTCAGCAATGGATGCTCTGCAGTGAATGGGTGCCGTCAGAATGAGAGTCCAAACAGCTGATAAAAACATCACAATAATCCACAGCACTCCAGTCCATCAGTTAACATCTGGAGAAGACAAAAGCTGAAACAAATCCAGCATTAAGACGTTTTTAACTAAAATTCTAAACATAATAATATATAAGCGCTGTATATCTGATCTCAGGGTTCTGGGCGCGTGAACTGGGTCAGATGATCGGGTTCCAGCACCCCACCATCCCAGTGCATCACCAGTACGTCGTCACGGCGACGGTTCCCGAGGTGAAGGCGCTGGAGGCGGAGCTTCCTGTGATCCGGGATCTGGAGGGCTCGTATTACCTGCGTCAGGAGCGAGACGGCCTGCTGTTCGGACCCTACGAGAAAGAGGAGAAGATGAAGCTGCAGGACTCGTGGATCAGAGACGGAGTTCCTCCAGGTCAGCACACGATCACAGAGAGCAGAGCACAGTGAAAGCACAGCACAGTCTGAAATAATCAGGTGTGTGTCGCAGGTTTCGGTAAGGAGCTGTTTGAGTCCGATCTGGACCGGATCATGGATCACGTGGAGAGGGCTATGGAGATGGTGCCGGTTCTGAAGAACGCTGACATCATCAACATCGTGTCCGGACCGATCACATACACACCTGACCTGCTGCCCATGATCGGACCGCACCAGGGAGCCAGAAACTACTGGACCGCCATCGGCTTCGGGTGAACACACACACACACACACACACACACACACACATATATACA